ATGTTGAAATGTTGTTGAGAAGAGTGCGAAAATAGCCGGATAATTAGGTTGTATGGTGGCCAAAATTTGTGTATTTTGGTCGAATCAAGGGGTTGGATTCAACCAAAAAACATAGGTTTTGCTAGAGAAGATGAAGTAATTTGGCCAAGATAGGTTATATCCAAGCGGTCGAATGACATGGTTTCGGCAATAATTGATTTGGTATAATTATATATTTTTTTTATTTTATCTTAACTGTTGGAGTTGATAGTTATGGAGTGTTATTAAGAGAAACTTGGGATTAAGCATATATGGTAATTCAATTACTTGGGCATTTGGGATTGGTCCCAAAAACCTGGCCCAAAGGACCAGTCCTTGTAAGGACCGGTTCTAGGAGGGTCTGGTCCCAAACCAGACCAGGCCTATGGGAGGAGGGACCGATCCCTTGATCGAGCCCTCCTCCAAGGCCCAAGCTTGGGACCGATCCTAACCTGGGCCCAAACCCTTTTGCTTAATTTCAAAAAAGTCATCTGTAAAATATCTAAAAACCCTTTGAAAATTTTGAAATTGACAAAAATATTAAAGAATAAATTGATATTTTACAAAAAAAAAAACAATTAATACAACACGACTGTTGGCTGCCAACAGTTATAACCGTTAGCAGCCAACGGTCATGCGGTTTTGGGCCGCCCCCCACCCCCCCAATATCCTACACTATAAATAATCCCCCACACTTCCAATTTTCACACCAATTCTCAATCTCTCTACTCTAACCCAATTACCATTCATATTTTCTTCAATTCAATTTATATTTATATTTATAATTTATTCATTTTATTTATTTATTTTATTCAATTTTTTATATTTTTCAATATCATCTTTTATTCATATTACTATTTTTTTTTCATTTTAATTATTTATTATTTTATCATAAGTTCATAATGGAATGGTCAAATGAGTTCTACGTTCCATCCACCGAAGAAATGGAAGGGTTCGATCCATTTTCATCCTTTCCAGAGGCAGTAGCCACAATTCAATGACAACAACCACATTCAGTCGAGATGGGGTGCAGTCAAACACAAACGAGTTGCGACTCCACAGCCCAACTCCCCTGACCGTCAAAGAGGATTGTGTCCGATGTATGACGAGACTTCACCAAATCAAAACGGACAAAGGCGAATGGGGAAGAGGAAGAATCGTATGGGGTATGTAATTTCTGTGGAACCGTCATCAACATTGAGAAGGGGACTTCGACGATGCAATGACATTTGGAGAAGAAGCACCCCCAAATAATGCAGCTATCTGGTTCATCTTCAATCGGACCAAGTAAGCAAAATCAAACTCAATTTAATTTTAATCCACAATCCTCAACTCTGTTAACATGACAATAAAATGCACTCCAAGCACGAGAGGAAATAGCAAAATACATAGTTGTTACGGACTCTCCCCTTTCTTTATTTGAAAATCCTTATTTTATTCACATGATTAAAAATACATTTTGTCCAACGTATACCCCTATTAGTAGAAGTACAAGTAGAAAGAACATACAAAAACTTTATAACCAAATAAATGTTCAACTTAAAAACGAAATTCAAAATTTTAGGAATATATCTATTGCACTTACTTCAGACATATGGGCTTGTAGGTAAAAAACAGATTTTTTAACTGTCACAATACATTATTTAGATCATGGTTGGGATTTACAACAAAAATTGATAGGTTTTAGACTATTATATACTGCACATAATGTTGACACTATTTATTTTACAATATTTGAAGTTTTCCAAGAATATGTATTAACTGATAGAGTTGTAGCACTAATGCTAGATAATGTATCTGCTAACACTGCGGCTATCTCTTTATTTGAAAAGAGAATAGATCCGCGCGGTGAAAACAATTTTTTTCACCAGAGATATGCGTACCACATCATCAATTTGATTATTAAAGCATGTCTAGAAGTTATAAATTCAAAGATTGAGAGGGTGTGCGCGGTTATCGGATTCATCATCGGTGGTAGCAACAAAAGATGACATGAGTACGTCAAATATTGTAAGCAAGAGAACCCACCAGCTCGACCTTTGAAGTTATGTATGGACATGCCCATCCGTTGAAACTCCACCTACTTGATGTTGGGAAAAGTTTTGCTAACCATAAGATAAATTACAGATTTCGTCAACCGAAAGAACTATCCAGAGGAAGTTGTTAGCTATGATGATTGGATGGTTTTCGAACTTTTATATTCATTTTTTAAAGTTTTTTATGAATCCACTAATACATTAAGTGATATTTATTATCCTACTACTAATTTAGCATTAGATATTTTACTTCAAATTTCTGAAACTTTTGCTAAATATATATATAATGACGTCTTAATGGAAATTGTTTCAAAGATGGAAAAAAAATATGAGAAATATTGGTTAGATATTCCATTCTTATATGGATTAGGCCTTGTTGTAGATCCTAGGTTTAAATTACATGTAGTTAATTGTATAGTTACTGAGATAAGCCAATATTTAGGATATGATTACGTATTATTTGATTAACTTTAAGCAAGAATTGGAAAACTTTTTTTCTTTATATCAAAGCAGGTACAATGGAACTAGAATGTCCAGCAGAGACGACCAATAGGACCTTGATGAAGACAACTATCAAGAATCGAGCATGTGGACATATATGGAACATGACGGCGGAAGTAGCAGCTCTAGCTCGTACATACATGGACCAAATGAGTTGAATTGCTTCCTACAAATGGACATGCCCTACATGACAAAGAAGGAGAAACGTGAGATGGATGTGCTTCAATGGTGGAAACAACGTTGAAGTCGGTTCTCCATTGTAGCCCAAATGACACGTGACATTTTATATGTGTCGGTTTTTACAATTGCATCCGAGTCAACATTCTCAACAAGTGACCGAATTGTTGAAGACAGAAGATGCTCTTTAACCAATGAGATGATTGAAGTGATAACGTGTTTATGGGATTGGACTCATGCAGAGAGAAGACTACAACAGCACCCTGAAGATCCTGAACTACTCAAACTCTTTAGGAACACAGATTTGAACGATGTAAATATTATTGACGATAAATAATTTAATAAAAACAATTTTATTTAATTGTTTATTTGTTAAGTGTGAATATTACATTTATATTAAAATTAATTAATTAAATTATCTCATTAAAGTTTAAATTTAAATCCCCATATTTATAAATAATTATTAATTATAATTAACCATTAATTAATTAATTATTTATTTATTTTTTAAACTTAATTGAAAATTTACAAATCTCCCAGAAATTACATAAACCCCTTTATTTGGCCCTAAAAAAAATTAGGCGGGTGACCGGTTCGAATCCTGAAATTTCTCGTGGTTCCAGGCCCATGAGAGACTGATCCTAAATGGGACCAATCCCGTTGGGACGGGTCCCTGCCCATGTCTAGGTAATTGGTTAAAATGGAATTAATGTTTTTAATTATATTAAAATGGAATTAATGGTTAAAATTGATATACAACAAGTTAAGATGTACACATCATTGCCTTCCGGGAGTACTCTCTAATTAATTCCTTTCAATTAATTATGTGGCCCTTCTCGTTAATTATAATCTCATACACTGATTGACACTTCAACTAGCACAATTAATTAGAGTCTCACTTCAATTTAGTGTCTATTAATGAGCGTTGAAATTCAGATTTTAAATAACTTCCCGTTTAAAATTTTATCCGATTTTTAGATTTTAAACTAATATTTGGGGAAGAGTAGTGTAACAACTCCCCGTCATTGCTCTGCATTTCAATTATGGATACTCAGATAATGAATCAAACCCACTATCACGATTCTTCACTTAAATCACGAGAACACTCATATAAGAAATCGAACTTGAGATTATACCTATCTACTAGAGGTGTTTGGTTTCGGATACTTTATATTTTTTGAAGGAATTGGAACCAGAACCGATGGTTCCTTGAAATTTGGAACCGATTCTGGAATCGACTCTAGACACCCAAAACCAAAACCTGTAACAACAGTTTCGATTATGGTTCTAAATACCCTGTAAAATTACACTTTAAACCATTACCTTAAATAAGTTTTTAAAAGGGCAAAAAAACCTTGAAACTTAAAACACAATACCCCCCCCCCCCCCCCCCCCCCCCCAACCCCCCCCCCCCCCACAACCTTGAACCAAACTACAATTACAAATTATAAATTCAAAATTCAAAATTCCATTATTTTGTAAAGATAGATTTTCAAAAGTCAAACTAACTTACTTTAAATGTTATGAAATATAAATATAAATATAAATGTATTCACATTACTTTTTTCTACAAAAGTTTTTATTAACACCTCTACTCTTTAATTTTATTTTATATTAGTTCCGATTCCTAACTATAGGAACTGGAACCGCATAATAACGGTTTCAAAAATTTGGAACCAAAACCTATCCGTTGATGGCTAATTCCGAGTAAGAACCGAAACTAAACCCCAAGTACCCGTGGGTTTCGATTCTAATTGGTTCTTTTGAACACTCCTACTATTTACACTATCTCTTATTCGCCCTAATAGACTACTCACCGATAAATAAAAAGCTTTAAATCATTATAATAATCATATATTATATTGACCGTAAAACTCGGATTTATCTTTTACATAACTAAACTCAGAATAGAAAAGAATTACGATCATCTCGTATATGTCTCTCTCAATTTAGAAAGACTCGACATTGTCTCTTACCCAACTTCTTTTTACTGGGCTCATTCGAAAGAGCACCACTTGGGCCAAATTTTTTCCATGGGCTCATTGGGAAGAGTTCCTCTTCGGCTAATGTGGTAATGGGTAATTAAAATGCAGTTTATTCCATTAATTTATATTAATTTTGGATTAACAGCAAGCTCAGAAGACACAAACCTATGGAAATGATAATAATCTACAAAACTCAGCTTCTTTTATTGTCAACTGCAAACTTCCAGGATTTAACACAAACTACTAAATTACATCAACCTTTCAAGCAAGGTGATCGAGTTTTGACTGACTGATTGAATTAAAAATGGCGCAACAGTTTTGCTTAATTGATTGGCCTACCACCTGCCACCATTTTTAGACTTGATCCCTCCATACAAACGGAAGAGACTGAATGCAGAAATGCAAGACAAAACCACCATGCTGAGGCTCACCAGAAGTGCTGAAGCTATTCCTTCTCCAACTTGGTTGCAGAATTTCCCATACATATCACATAGTTTCATCCACTGCAGCTCTGGCTGTCCCATCTTTGCAAATGCTGCTGATTGTGCCGCTGCTGCCACCGCCGCCACTGTCAAGTATGCCATCACCTGCATAATATTACACATCCCAAATATCTTATCCCAAATTCTTTCAATTTAGGACTGACAGATTGAGTGTTGATAAGTTTTCCACCAGGGAGATTAGTTTTTAATTAAGGCCATTAATTGATTTAGTTGCCTGCAGGCTGCATCCACCAGGTTGACTTGCCTTAGCAAATGCATTAAAAAAAAATAATAATAATTTCCCTGAGCCATTACTGCTCTGGAGACTGGAATCAATCAATTCCTTGGCTGTAGACTCACACTGCAACTTGGAGGACAACTGTTCCAAACATCAAACTCCATCTCATGGTTCCCGTGAAGTCAATAAGAAAAATCTTATGAGTTTAAGCTTCAATTCCATCTCTCTCTTAATGTTAATTAAGTGTTACTAATTAACCATGCAATTATGGAAACATTAGCTGATAAAACATACAAAGAGAAAACATATTAACAGTTAAACAAGTACCTGATCTCCAGAAAAAATTGCCCAAGCTAGAGGCTTGTTGAACAGCAAGCTTCCTTTAAACATACCAACAACACAGCGCACACCTTGTAACAAAGAGTAAGTTGCAGCTATTCCATTGGCTATCACTAAAAACCTGCAGGTTTTACACAATAGAGGCCCAAAAATTGTGTGAAAAAGAGCTCAAGGAACAATGGAACATGCATGAGATGAGGTTATAATTAAAAAAGTTTGGAATCTTACACAAGAGCTTTCATGTCGGTAAATCTGGCTGTCTTTCGGATTGTGAAGATCTCTTTGACCTGAGAATCAGTTCCCACAAGAACAGCAGCAAGAACACCTAAACCACAAATCACACATCTCAAAATCAGCTCTACAACCCTGATTCTTCTGTCAACAACCTTCAGAAAAGTGCCATGGTACACTGGCACATTCCCTGGACTCACACCAACACCCAAGTAACTCATTTCTTCTGCACAGGAATGAAGAAACACTCAAAGAGGGGCAAAGGGGTTTCAGACAAAGATCCAGAAAGTATTTACAAAGACATCAAGTTGAAAGTTTCACTACTTAAATAGACCCACATGAACCGCAATGGTTTTAGTGATTCACGCAAGATTGTGAGGTTGCCAAGTGGTGAAAAGAAGCTCTAGAGTTGAATGAACCCCACCAAAAAAAAGACACCTCAACCTGCACTGCAGAAACCATTAAATGTGAAAGAGAAAACACTAGACTCAGCTTTTACAATTTTTTTTTTCTTTCGCTTTTTCTAGGAAGAAGCCACAGTTTTTTGTCCCAACTCCCAAGGAGGAGGTCAGATAAGGAAAGAGGTGCCTCTAACTCCTGTTATTGCATTGAATGAAGGCCATTATAGTAGGATATTTGATCATCCATGTCTCTTGTTTAGGTCATACTAAAAAGAACAAAAATGGCCTTAGATTTCATAGTTTGCTTCAAGCTCATGATCAAATGATGAAAGTGGGAATCCTAGAATTCTTTATTTCCACTTAGTGGTGGGCCATTTGGGAGAGTAGATTATGGGTTTGTGTTCACATCATGTTAATATGATTTGCAATGTGAACAGATTTTTATTTAAGATAAAATTGGTGAAGCATGAAAGCTTTTCTTTGAAGGAAACCTTGCCACTGTGACTCTGTCAATCTGATTGGCGCCACTGATTGAAGTCCAAAAAGCCATTTCCAAGTTCCAACTACTTAACTCCACTACTGTACCTACTTAATTTGTCTTCAAGCTTTTTTTTTTTTTTCTAGATGCTTATCAAAATGTGATGTGACATAGAAATGATGTAATCTTATTATTCAAAGAATCTATTTCATTGTTGGATAGAAAATATTACAGTACTATTAGATTTTTTCCTTTTACAATAGTCTTTTCTGAGATAGACAGGGGGGTTGGGAGGAGGGGCGGATCCCCTCTGAGGGTAGGCCAGATTTAAAAAAAAAAATATTAATATACAGGCTTATAAAACCTATCCTTGGATTTAAAAAAAATTGATAACTGTTTTATATATATATAGGCACATAAAAAATTTGCTATAAATATATATATTTTAAGCCCACGTCATATTAAAATTTTAAAACTTTTGCCATTTTTCTTCTCTACGGCTTCACCTGTTTTTTATGATTTTATCTCCAAATTTTTTTACTCTCTCATTCTCTATTTCTTTTTCTCATGCTATTCGCTCTTAAAATTTTTGAAGGCTGAAATTATTGAATTTTTCATTACTCAAGGTGCCATAATTAGCTCCGTTTTCTGTTTTATTAGTTTTAGATATATGTATTGATTATTTCAAATTAGTTTATTGTAGGGTTCTTTTTCTCATGCTATTCACTCTTAAAATTTTTGAATAATGAAATTGTTGAATCTTTCATTACTCAAGGTATCACAATTAGCTTCGTTTTCTGTTTTATCAGTTTTAGGTATGTGTATTGTTCATTTCAAATTAGTTTATTATATGATTGAATCATGTTTTTTTTTTTAGAGGTTTTTTAGTCTAATTTGAGAGAAAAATACCTGGATCTTGTGAGTTTATTTTGTGTTTTGTGTTTAAGAATAAATCTACTTTCCCAAATTAAAACCTTAACTATATTTTAAAGGACGTTATTCTTCACCCACCACTTTCCTACATTTCAAACATCACTGTTTGTTTGCTAAAAATTATTAAAGAAATTTGAGTTACTATTTATTTTTATCCCAAGAAAATTCCTTATTTTTTATTAATTCATACTAAAAGTCAACGCAATGTTGACTTGATTTAAGTTTTACCTAACTTTAGCTTATGTTAAGTCAGATCAAAGTCATCAAAATTTATATTATAATCTTTGGAAGCCAAACAAGAAAAAAAAAAAAAAATTAAAAGAAGGTTTTGCTTAAGGTTTACTCAACACATTTACTCAAAATTTTGCTTTTCATAGATTTTTTCAAGTACAAAAGTATTGTCTTATTACATTCTTTTTTCTCATGTTCTTGATGTTGTATTATTTTCTTTGCTTAATGTTTGATNTTCAATACTCATGAACTAAGTTTTTTTTTTTTTTTTTTTTTTTGTAATAAATGAGATATCCGACACAATTGTCAGTCTGAGTCCATCTAATTCTTAGGTTTATAGATCACAAGTCCAATAAACCAAGGTAATTACACAGTATAGTAAGTGTCTCATTTGTCAATCATCTAGTAAAAACATAAAAAAAATAACATTTAATTCACAAGGAAATACAAGAAAATTTTTACGTGGAAAAACCTCTTCAATGTGAAAAGATAAAAAAACTACGGGAATCTAACGATCCACTTAAATCTAATATAATCAAAAGAGTTTACAACAATTATAAATCCACCAAAAATATTCTATACAAATTTAGAGCTCAATCACAACTCTAATAAAAGTAAAATACACCAAAGTTTACAAAGAGATGGATTACAATCAATCCAAAACCAGATCCGCATGTAAAAGGGAAATTGGGAATTGTGGAAGAAAAACTTGAATATAAAAAAAACAAAACCTAACTTTTTAATTTTTTTTAACCTTTTAAAAAAACTTTTCAAATTTTTTTTAAAAGTTGAGGGCAGACCTAGGCCTACCCTCAAGGGGCCCAGGTCTGCCTCTGGTCTCTCCTACGACCCGAATATAAAATATTTTAAGTATAACTAACTTCACTGGCTAAAGAACTTGCAATCTTACATTTGATAATCATCAACTCTCTTTGTAATACATGTAAAAATTGAATACATAATTACTATAAGGGTGTGTTTGGTTGGGGGTTATCCTCTATTATTGAGGTAATGTCATCTTATATTATTTAGTTTACTACTTTTGCTTGTTAAATAATATAAGATTCCAGTAATTTTTCAAAACCAATAATAATTATTGTTGGTTATATAGGTGGCAATCTAATTATCTCATTTTTTTTAGGTATTTTAAGATTACATGATACCTTTGTTAACTTTGTTACAATTTTATCCTTAATTATTAAATTTTTTGGACAATAACACCTTTATTGTGAAATTAATTTACATGAACATGTCATTACAATTCTACTCCTAATTAATTAAGTTTTTGAACAATAATGCCCTTATATTTAAACAAATTGCAGGCTACCTAGGATCACCACTGCCCGCTAGCCACCACCGTTGCTGGAATAGTGCACGACATCAATCTAGCCGTTTCCGTCCAGATTGATGGTCGAAAATAGCTAGATGGTTGTAGATCTGGTTGTTAACGACTAGATACATGTCGCACGATGCCATAATAGATTTGGCCGTTAACGACCAAATCCATGGTTGTTAACGGCCATTAGCAACCATTGATTTGACCGTTTCCGGCCAGATCAGCACACGGTTGGCTATATCTAGTCGATCATGCGCCTTTCTAACGACTTTTGATAGCGTTCGATAATGGCTTGGGGTGGGTGGGGGTGATTTGTTCGAAATTAAACTTTTATGTGGTTGATGTGTTTTAGCAAAATCTCAAATGTAGGGTGGTTAAACGAAATGATTCAAAAAATAATAATAAAAATAATATTATATTAATATTTAAAAAAGAAGGGTAATTTAATAATCCATATAGCATACCCATTAATTTATTCATCTCACCCAAACATATCAATATAACATACCCACCAATTTATTATAATCTAATCAAGCACGTTTTCGTTAACATTCACAGGTAATTTATCTTTCCATTAATATAACATTTCTAATAATACAATATTCCCTAAACTAAACATACCTTAAAGAAAATTGTTGGTAATAAATTTATAATCACGTCTCTAATAGTTGTCAAATCTTCTTTTGACATGTATAAAAAGTGATTTTAATATGTATTTGTTTTTGCAAAATTTTATGTGTCCCTTAGGGAGTGAACGACTCTTGCGAATTCGACTACCGTTAGCACTGTTTTTAATATTATATTCGAGAATTTGCTATAACATCAGCATAATATTACTTTATACTAATAATAGGATGATCTTTTGAAGTGTGTAGGACAGTTAAAGAGTTTGTTTATTGGACTTATTTATGGTAAAAGCTTGAGAAATTATATTAAATGATATTATTTACAGCCTCGAATTGAGAAGTAGCACTTTTTTTAGAGTGTGAAATGTCTCAAGAAATCGTACAATTCCATAACACACAATATTTTGGGACGAAATTGCCCCCACAGATATATAAAACTTATAGTATTCACCCATCTTCTTCAACCCTAACCTACCCCTCCCTCCATTGCCAAAATTCAAACTTTTAATCCTAAACCACCCTGCTCCTATTTGTGCCAAAATCGAGCAGAATTTGAATGGAAATACTGGTTTTGTATTTAGGGTTTTTGATGGGATTTTAGGGTTAAGAATGGGAGATATGTTGAAATGTTGTTGAGAAGAGTGCGAAAACAGCCGAATAATTGGGTTGTATGGTGGCCAAAATTTGTGTATTTTGGTCGAATCAAGGGGTTGGATTTAGCCAAAAAATATAGGTTTTGCTGGAGAAGATGAAGTAATTTGGCCAAGATAGGTTATATCCAAGCGGTCGAATGACATGGTTTCGGCAATAGTTGATTTGGTATAATTATATATTTTTATTATTTTATCTTAACAGTTGGAGTTGATATTTATGGAGTGTTATTAAGAGAAACTTGGGATTAAGCATATATGGTAATTCAATTACTTGGGCATTTGGGATTGGTCCCAAAAACCTAGCCCAAAGGACCAGTCCTTGTAAGGACCGGTTCTAGGAAGGTCTGGTCCCAAACCGGACCAGGCCTATGGGAGGAGGGACTGGTCCCTTGATCGGGCCCTACTCCAAGGCCCAGGCTTGGGACCGATCCTAACATGGGCCCAAACCCTTTTGCTTAATTTCAAAAAAGTCATCTATAAAATATCTAAAAACCCTTTGAAAAATTTGGAATTGACAAAAATATTAAGGATTAAATTGATCCAACACAACCCCTAACCACCCCCCACCCCCCACCCACCCCCCTCTTCAATATCCTACACTATAATTATCCCCCACACTTCCAATTTTCTTCACACCAACTCTCAATCTCTCTACTCTAATCCAATTATCATTCATATATTCTTCAATTCAATTTATATTTATATTTATAATTTATTCATTTTATTTATTTATTTTATTCAATTTTTTATATTTTTCAATATCATCTCTTATTCATATTACTATTCTTTTTTCATTTTAATTATTTATCATTTTATCATAAGTTCATAATGGAAGGGTCAAATGAGTTCTACATTCCATCCACCGAAGAAATGGAAGGGTTCGATCCATTTTCATCCTTTCCAGAGGCAGTAGCCACAATTCAATAACAACAACCACATTCAGTCAAGATGGGGTGCAGTCAAACACAAACGAGTTGCGACTCCATGGCCCAACTCCCCTGATCGTCAAAGAGGATTGTGTTCGATGTATGACGACACTTCACCAAATCAAAACGGACAAAGGCGAATGGGGAAGGGGAAGAATCGTATGGGGTATGTAATTTCTGTGGAACTGTCATCGGCACTGAGAAGGGGACTTCGACGATGCGATGACATTTGGAGAAGAAGCACCCCCAAATAATGCAGCTATCCGGTTCATCTTCAATCGGACCAGGAAGGCAAAATCAAACTCAATTTAATTTTAATCCACAATCCTCAACTCGGTCAACATGGCAATAAAATGCACTCCAAGCACGAGAGGAAATAGCAAAATATATAGTTGTTACGGACTCTCCCCTTTCTTTATTTGAAAACCCTAAATCCTTATTTTATTCACATGATTAAAACTGCATTTTGTCCAACTTATACCCCTGTTAGTAGAAGTACAAGTAGAAATACATACGAAAACTTTATAACCAAATAAATGTTCAACTTAAAAATGAAATTCAAAATTTTAGGAATATATCTATTGCACTTACTTCAGACATATGAGCTTGTAGATCAAAAACAGATTTTTTAACTGTCACAATACATTATTTAGATTATGGTTGGGATTTACAACAAAAATTGATAGGTTTTAGACTATTATATACTGCACATAATGTTGACACTATTTATTTTACAATACTTGAAGTTTTCCAATAATATATATTAACTGTTAGAGTTGTAGTGCTAACGCTAGATAATGCATTTGTTAACACTGCTACTATCTCTTTATTTGAAAAGAGATTAGATCCGCATGGTGAAAGCAAATTTTTTCACTAGAGATATACGTACCACATCATCAATTTGATTGTTAAAGCATGTCTAGAAGTTATAAATTCAAAGATTGATAGGGTGTGCGCGATTGTCGGATTCATCGTTGGCGGTAGCAACAAAAGATGACATGAGTACGTCAAATATTGTAAGCAAGAGGACCCACCGGCTCGACCTTTGAAGTTATGTACGGACATGCCTATCCGTTGGAACTCTACCTACTTGATGTTGGAAAAAGTTTTGCTAACCATAAGACAAATTACAGATTTCATCAACCGAAAGAACTATCCAGAGGAAGTTGTCAGCTATGATGATTGGATGGTTTGCGAACTTTTATATTCATTTTTTAAAGTTTTTTATGAATCCACTAATACATTAAGTGATATTTATTATCCTATTACTAATTTAGCGTTAGATATTTTACTTCAAATTTCTGAAACTTTTGTTAAATATATATATATAATGATGTCTTAATGGAAATTGTTTCAAAGATGGAAAAAAAAAAAAATATGAGAAATATTAGTTAGATATTCCATTCTTATATGGATTAGGCCTTGTTGTAGATCATAGGTTTAAATTACATGTAGTTAATTGTATAGTTACTGAGATAGGCCAACATTTAGGATATGATTATACCTATTATTTGATTAACTTTAAGCAAGAATTGGAAAACCTTTTTTCTTTATATCAAAGCAGGTAAAATGGAACTAGAACGTCCAGCAGAGACGACCAATAGGACCTTGATGAAGACAACTATCAAGAATCGAGCATGTGGACATATATGGGACATGGTGGCGGAAGTAGCAGCTCCAGCTCGTACATACATGGACCAAATGAGTTGAATTGCTACCTACAAATGGACATACCCTACATGACAAAGAAGGAGAAACGTGAGATGGATGTGCTTCAATGTTGGAAACAACATCGAAGTCGGTTCCCCATTGTAGCACAAATGACACGTGACATTTTATATGTGCCAGTTTCTACAATTGCATCCGAGTCAACATTCTCAACAGTGACTGAATTGTTGAAGACAGAAGATGCTCTTTAACCAATGAGATGATTGCAGTGATAACGTGTTTATGAGATTGGACTCATACAGAGAGAAGACTACAACAGCACCCTGAAGATCCTAAACTACTCGATCTCTTTAGGAACACAGATTTGAACGATGTAAATATTATTGACGATAAATAATTTAATGAAAACAATTTTATTTAATTGTTTATTTGTGAAGTGTGAATATTATATTTATGTTAAAATTAATTAATTAAATTATCTCATTAAAGTTTAAATATAAATCCCCATATTTATAAATAATTATTAATTATAATTAACCATTAATTAATTAATTAATTTTTTTTTAAACTTAATTGAAAATGTACAAATCTCCCAGGGGTGGAATTTTTTTTCCAAGCCCCTAAAAATTACATAAACCCCTTTATTTGGCCCTAAAAAAAATTAGGCGGGTGACCGGTTCGAATCCTGAAATTTCTCGTGGTTCCAGGCCCATGAGAGACTGATCCTAAATGGGACCAATCCCGTTGGGACAGGTCCCTGCCCATGTCTAGGGAATTGGTTAAAATGGAATTAATGTTTTTAATTATATTAAAATGGAATTAATGGTTAAAATTGATATACAACAAGTTAAGATGTACACATCATTGCCTGCCGGGAGTACTCTCTAATTAATTCCTTTCAATTAATTATGTGGCCCTTCTCGTTAATTATAATCTCATACACTGATTGACACTTCAACTAGCACAATTAATTAGAGCCTCACTTCAATTTAGTATCTACTAATGAGCGTTGAAATTTATATTTTAAATAATTTCCCATTTAAAATTTTATCCTATTTTTAATTTTAAACTAATATTTGGGGAACTCTAGCGTAAGAACTTACTGTCGATACTCTCCACTTAAATTACGAATACTCAGATGATAAATCAAACCCACCGCCACAATTCTTCACTTAAATCGCGAATACTTATATAAGAAATCGAACTAGAGATTGTACTTATCTACTAAGGGTGTTCGATTCCGGGTATCCTATATTTTTTTGAAGGAATTGAAACTAGAATCAGAATTGAAACTGACAGTTCCTTGAAATTTGGAACTGGTTCTGAAACCGACTCTAGGTATCCAGAACCAAAACCTGTAACAATGGTTTTGTTCCGATTTTGGGTGCCCTGTAAAATTACAATTACCCTCAAAAGTTTTTAAAATGGCAAAAAAAAAGAAAAAAAAAAAAACCTTGAAAACTTACAAATACCCCCCACTTGACACTTGTTAGTAAAAATAAAATTACAAATTATAAATTCAAAATTACAAACTCCATTACTTAGTAAAGGTAGATTCTCAAAAGTCAAACTAACTTACTTTAAATGTTATGAAATATAAATATAAATGTATTCATATTACTTTTTCTATAAAAGTTTTTATTAACACCCCTACTCTTTAATTTTATTTTATATTAATCTCGGTTCCAAAAATTTGGAATTAGAGCCTATCGGGTAAGAACCAAAATCAAACCCCGAATGCCCGTCGGTTTCGATTTCAATCGGTTCTTTCGAACACCTCTACTATCTACGCTATCTCTAATTCGCCCTAATCATCTAGACTACTCACCCATAGATAAAAAACTTTAAATCATCATATATTATATTGACCGTAAAACTCGGATTTAACTAAACTCGGAATAGAAAAGAATTAGGATCATCTCGTATATGTCTCTCTCAATTTAGTAAGACTCAGACATTGTCTCTTACCCAACTTCTTTTTACTGGGCTCATTGGAAAGAGTACCTCTTGGGCTAATGTGGTAATGGGTAATTGAAATCCAGTTTATTCCATTAATTTATATTAATTTTGGATTAACAGCAAGCTCAGAAGACACAAACCTATGGAGATAATAATCTACAAAACTCAGCTTCTTTTATTGTCAACTGCAAACTTCCATCATTTAACACAAACAACTAAATTACATCAACCTTTCAAGCAAGGTGATAGAGTTTTGACTGACTGATTGAATTAAAAATGGCGCAACAGTTTTGCTTAATTGATTGGCCTACCACCTGCCACCATTTTTAGACTTGATCCCTCCATACAAACGGAAGAGACTGAATGCAGAAATGCAAGACAAAACCACCATGCTGAGGCTCACCAGAAGTGCTGAAGCTATTCCTTCTCCAACTTGGTTGCAGAATTTCCCATACATATCACATAGTTTCATCCACTGCAGCTCTGGCTGTCCCATCTTTGCAAATGCTGCTGATTGTGCCGCTGCTGCCACCGCCGCCACTGTCAAGTATGCCATCACCTGCATAATATTACACATCCCAAATATCTTATCCCAAATTCTTTCAATTTAGGACTGACAGATTGAGTGTTGATAAGTTTTCCACCAGGGAGATTAGTTTTTAATTAAGGCCATTAATTGATTTAGTTGCCTGCAGGCTGCATCCACCAGGTTGACTTGCCTTAGCAAATGCATTAAAAAAAAATAATAATAATTTCCCTGAGCCATTACTGCTCTGGAGACTGGAATCAATCAATTCCTTGGCTGTAGACTCACACTGCAACTTGGAGGACAACTGTTCCAAACATCAAACTCCATCTCATGGTTCCCGTGAAGTCAATAAGAAAAATCTTATGAGTTTAAGCTTCAATTCCATCTCTCTCTTAATGTTAATTAAGTGTTACTAATTAACCATGCAATTATGGAAACATTAGCTGATAAAACATACAAAGAGAAAACATATTAACAGTTAAACAAGTACCTGATCTCCAGAAAAAATTGCCCAAGCTAGAGGCTTGTTGAACAGCAAGCTTCCTTTAAACATACCAACAACACAGCGCACACCTTGTAACAAAGAGTAAGTTGCAGCTATTCCATTGGCTATCACTAAAAACCTGCAGGTTTTACACAATAGAGGCCCAAAAATTGTGTGAAAAAGAGCTCAAGGAACAATGGAACATGCATGAGATGAGGTTATAATTAAAAAAGTTTGGAATCTTACACAAGAGCTTTCATGTCGGTAAATCTGGCTGTCTTTCGGATTGTGAAGATCTCTTTGACCTGAGAATCAGTTCCCACAAGAACAGCAGCAAGAACACCTAAACCACAAATCACACATCTCAAAATCAGCTCTACAACCCTGATTCTTCTGTCAACAACCTTCAGAAAAGTGCCATGGTACACTGGCACATTCCCTGGACTCACACCAACACCCAAGTAACTCATTTCTTCTGCACAGGAATGAAGAAACACTCAAAGAGGGGCAAAGGGGTTTCAGACAAAGATCCAGAAAGTATTTACAAAGACATCAAGTTGAAAGTTTCACTACTTAAATAGACCCACATGAACCGCAATGGTTTTAGTGATTCACGCAAGATTGTGAGGTTGCCAAGTGGTGAAAAGAAGCTCTAGAGTTGAATGAACCCCACCAAAAAAAAGACACCTCAACCTGCACTGCAGAAACCATTAAATGTGAAAGAGAAAACACTAGACTCAGCTTTTACAATTTTTTTTTTCTTTCGCTTTTTCTAGGAAGAAGCCACAGTTTTTTGTCCCAACTCCCAAGGAGGAGGTCAGATAAGGAAAGTGGTGCCTTTAACTCCTGTTATTGCATTGAATGAAGGCCATTATAGTAGGATATTTGATCATCCATGTCTCTTGTTTAGGTCATACTAAAAAGAACAAAAATGGCCTTAGATTTCATAGTTTGCTTCAAGCTCATGATCAAATGATGAAAGTGGGAATCCTAGAATTCTTTATTTCCACTTAGTGGTGGGCCATTTGGAAGAGTAGATTATGGGTTTGTGTTCATATCATGTAAATGTGATTTGGAATGTGAACAGATTTTTATTTAAGATAAAATTGGTGAAGCATGAAAGATTTTCTTTAAAGGAAACTTTGCCACTGTGACTCTGTGAATCTGATTGGTGCCACTGATTAAAGTCCAAAAAGCCATTTCCAAGTTCCAACTACTTAACTCCACTACTGTACCTACTTAATTTGTCTTCAAGCTTTTTTTTTTTTTTTTTCTAGATGCTTATCAAAATGTGATGTGACATAGAAATGATGTGTAATCTTATTTTTCAAAGGGAGTGTATCTATTTCATTGTTGGATCGAAAATATTACAGTAATATAGATTTTTCCCTTTTACAATAGTCTTTTCTGAGTTAGACAAGGGGGTTGGGAGGAGGGCCGCAGTAGAGCTGGGTATTTGGGACTGGGTCTAAAAGTTCAGTTTTAAAATCTGGTCTTAGGATTGGTCCTTGAGAAAATCAGACCTAGAAGATTTGGTCTCAAAACTGGATCAGGCCTAAGGAGGAGGGCCCTCCTCCAAAGCTCGGACCGGTCCCAGGCCTGGGCCCAAAAAAATTTGTATTTTTTCAATGGGATAAGACCTGGGCCCAAAAAAATTTATATTTTTTCAATGTAGTCCCCTGTCAAATTACATAAAACTCCTAGTTAATTTTAAATATATATAAATTACGAGGGTTAAAATGAAATTTTATAAAATTTATAAATTAAAAAAAATCTTCTAGGTCTAAAAAATTTATAAAATTTATAAATTTTACCCCTAAAAAATACTAAAAACCCCCTATAAAATTTTGTTTTGCCCTAAAAAATATAAAAAAATTGAGGGGGAAAATGAAATTATCCAAGGCCCATGAGACCAATCCCGACCAGGCCTAAGGCCTGGTCCGGTCCTGGTTTTTCTCATGAGCGTGGGACCGGTCCCAGACCCATTAGTGACTAGTCCCAAACGGGCCCAGGCCTGGGCTCGCAAGGGACAGGTCCCTTGCCCAGCTCTAGGCCGCATCCAGCCCCTCCGAGGGTGCCAAATTTAAAAATAAAATTATTAATATACAGGCTTATAAAACCTATAGAATTATTATATATATATTCTAAGACTCTCTCCACTCTTCTTCTCCATATTTCCACCTATTTTTTATGATTTTATTCCCAAAATTTTTTACTCTCTCATTCTCTGTTTCTCATTCTCATGTTATTTGCTTTTAAAACTTTTGAAGGATGAAATTATTGAATCTTTCATTATTCAAGGTGCCACAATTAGCTCCGTTTTCTGTTTTATCAGTTTTAGGTATGTGTATTGCTTATTTCAAATTAGTTTATTATAGGGTTGAATCATGCTTGTTTTTTTTTGGAGGTTTTTTATTCTAATTTGAGAGAAATATACATAGATCTTGTGAGTTTATTTTGTGTTTTGTGTTTAAGAATAAATCTGCTTCCCAAATTAAAACCTTAACTATATTTTAAAGGACATTATTCTTCACCCACCACTTTCTTATATTTCAAATGTCACTGTTTGGTTGCTAAAAATTATTAAAGAAATTTGAGTTACTATTTATTTTTATCTCAAGAAAATTCCTCATTTTTTATTAATTCATACTAAAAGTCAACGCAACGTTGACTTGATTTAAGTTTTAACTGACTTTAGTTTAGGCTAAGTCTGATCAAAGTCATAAAAATTTATATTATAATCTTTGGAAGCCAAAAATGAAAAAAAAAAAATTAAAAGAAAGTTTTGTTCAAGGTTTACTCAAAATTTTGCTTCTCATAGATTTATTCAAGTAGAAAAGCATTGTGTTATTACATTCTTTTTTCTCATGTTCTTGATATTGTATTATTTTCATTGCTTAATGTTTGATGATTTTTAAAGTTTTTATTAGTTGTTTGACAAATAATGGCGAAGCCGCTTATTCCCCCCTCGGCAAAAATCCTGAATTTGCCGCTGGTTGGAAGGAGGCCTGCTGGCTGATTATGGACGGTGTCACGGTGATAAAAGATCATCATCAGTGGCCATACTTGGTCCTATATTGTAAGTGAGCAGCACAATGAGATTGCATTTAATTTGGCAAGTGGGCAACTGGGCATGAACATAAAAGGAAGTGATAAAATTGACAGCAAGAACCAAGAAGGAAGACAGAGATTGGTTCTTCCTTCTTGGTTGGTTGATTGATTAATGGTCAAGACACAACACTCAAATTCAGTGGATGGAGATAAAGCCATGAAAGGGGTTACTCTCATCCCTAAGAATGTGAGCACACACTCTGAAATTAATTCAGAAAATATGTTACAGAGACCCCCCCCCATGCTCATCTTCTTTAAATGCTTAGATAAGTGCATATATCAAGTACTTTCTAGTGATTTCTAATCATATGGCTATGATTTTTCACTGGTCTTTTTATCCCTGCAGAGGCAATCCTTCCGGATCCAGGCAGTCATGGAATTTATTGAAGATATGTAGCCCAGAAATCATGAAAATTTATTGAAAGACATGGCAGAAATTTCTAGACCCAATGCAAGGTTTGAAGAGTCTAGATCAAACTTATAAACGATAAATTATCTGCAACAGGATCAAGCATCAAACAGTTTTTCATACCGTTCCATACTTGAATGAGGTTACAAGAAATGAAATGGGAACATTTAAAGATCTTCAATCTTCAAACTTCATGGAAGAAATTCATATTTGCATGAATGGTGACCTGCACACAATGACAAAACAAGAAAAAAGTCATCATTACACTTTAGTAATCAAAACAAGATAAGTTTGAGATGGAGCAATGTTAATTATCAATAATTTTATCTTACTGGGGTCAAGATCAGTGATCATAGCTGCAGAATTGAAGTAGCAAGTTGCCCCTTTGTGCTTGAACTTTTGGTAGTAGTCATTGAAGGCATAAGAGGCATGGTCCCTGATAGTACTGGGAAAATAACAAGGCTGGTTTTTTTGTATCTTACTGCAATCTGCGCCTCCCTTTCCACAAGCCCAATCTAGAGCCCTTTGTAATTCTTCATCTGGGGTTTGCTCATCAGCTATGCACCATTCCTCAAACTGCCCATCTGCTTTTTCCAATCATTAAAACAAACACAATCAGTTTCATTCCGTAACGTTACCAGACCGATAAAATGTGGATGATGTTACCTGATTTTTGCAGTAGTACTGAAGTGATAAAAAGAAGGGCCAGTAGAGTTCTGAACCAAGAAGATGACATTGTAATTCAGAAGCCAATTCAAGAGCTTCTATGTTAAAGTTACATTACCAAATAGTTTTGTCTATAAATGAACCATCTTTGGGAGCAAAAGGGATGTAATTCTTAGCTTTTATCAAAGTTGAGATTCCAAAACTGTGCAGGTTCCTTTGATGTTAAGATAACAGTTCAATCTACTTTGTTTGGAATGGCTAAGTTACCCTTTGTTTAGATCAAGCATTCTTCAACTTCTCATGCCAGAATTTGAAGTAAATGGGCAGTGGTCATACTGGTATTTTTCTCAAAAATGTAAGGGACAAGATCCTGTAACTGAGATCTTTGCAATGAGAGAATATAAGATGACCCTATTTCCAAGTAAACTGAATGGCCAGACCTAGGATATTGCCCACTATTTTCTGGATCAAGAGATCAATATGTTTGCCCTTTTCCTTTTTCTCTTTTATTTCCTTTTCCTTTTTCCCCCATCTACCAAAACTTTATCTAATCAAATTTGATTTCTAGAATAGGAAGTGATAAATAAACCAAAAATAATGTTTACTCTTATTGGATGAAATTCAAGCACATCTATAATAGTTAAATCTAGGAGTAGCTATAATGAAGCATACTTCTTTTTTACGCAAAATGTTGGAAGTTTTCAAACTGTGCAAGTACTCGACCTAATCCCTTGGAACTGAACCTAGACCTAGAGGTTCTTAGGATTTATGAACTAGAATCGAAACTGGTTGGTTCCGAAATGCCTGGAATCGGAATCGGAACCTATGGTTTAGGTTCCGGGTCCGGTCCGGGTACCCAACATTGTTCACAAAAAATTACAAGTACACCCCTCTTGTTCGTAAAAATGACAAATAAACCATGTGACAATTAAATACACTCCAACTATTTATAGAAATTACAAATACACTCCGGGTACCCATCAGTTCCACCCAGGGTTCTTAGGCCTCGGTTTCGGTTCTTAGGTCCAAGTCTGGTTCTGAAGTGGTGGAACTAGACCCTGACCCGCACAATGCTGGTTCCACCAAATTTGGAACTAGAATAGACACCGCGGGTGTTTCTCGGTTCCGATTCTACCCTAAAAATTTGTACATCTGTATATATACAAATATTCTTATACAAAGTGATTAGTATAATTGTTATATTGCTAAGTCATTTAACCCCATTTATTAAGCTAAATTTTTATAATAATTTATCCAATCATTTATCGACGTATTACTTTGTATAAAAGTCTTTATATCTATACTTTGTAAGTGTAGTATTATTCCTTCAAAATTTTGTGGTACCCGAGAAGTTTGGATGTGGCAAATGGATGAGACTATACATCTTGGATCATAGGGTCCAAATTGGATTGGATTTAACAATGGATTAGTATACCAAAACCATGGGCTACAAGCTAGGCCCAAGCCCAAAAATTGTTGGTTTAATTGGGCCAAGGCCCAAGAACATCATCCCATCTTTGTCTATAAATAATCCACAGTTGAGAGCCAAACCCTAAAAGAGTTCCTCTTCAGACTCAAAAGTGTCGAGCTTTACCTAAACTGTGAAGCCTCGGCTGGCTGTCTGACAACGTAAGAGAGGATCTGATACAAAAGCGGCATCTCAGAAAGCCAGTGCTCTTTGTTACCCATCTGCTCTTGGCTCGCTATGATGCCCACAAACTCTTCTCAATCAACACAGTTTTTCTCTTTCAATTTCTTTATTTTAACACACTCTGTATATCTGGGTGTAGTTCTTAAATTTTATTGAATTTTTTCACTTGTTTTTGTCTCGAAGATGTTCCCAGATGATGATTTTAATAACAAATAACATGAAGTTGATGTTAATGAAATGTGGATTAGTTTCTACCTCCTTAAGGTTTGCAAATTTGGAACACTTTGGGTTAAGATTGTTGCTGTGGAACAAGGCCTCTGCATGGTGGAATTGGAGACTTTTTCCAAAATCAGAAATTTTAGTTTACACTGGAGCAGAGGTAACAAAAATATGGTTGCTCATCCAACTGGGTCATGATTAGTTACCTTCAAACTCAATACTCGTTTCAGAAATAAAAGATTCTGATAGTGGAAGAAAATTGCCTGTCAGCCTCTGTACTGTGAACTCCCCTGCTTGGATTCTTGATCTTATGAAATATTGCTGTATGCATGATGAAAACTTCTAGAGAATGTTTGATTCAAATGACCACTCAACGTGTTTGTTTTCTGAAGATTAATCCTAAACCGAAGTTTTGTTTTTTCTTGAGAAGGAAGGGTATAATGCCAATGTTCATAAAGAAATCCTGTGTTATCGCTTGATGTTTGCGGCATTTTTGAGTGGTTTTATCTTGGCCGAATGGTGAGTTTCACACCATGTATAAGAGAACAAGAACCTCAATCTTATCGATCATTGATTATCATGTGGATACTGTTACATATATATGTATATATATAAGATATCCAATAAGTAATAATTAATAATAATAACAATTCACCTTCAACCAAAATCATCAGAACCATGCTAAGTTGATAGCAGATTAAGTTTCAGGGGTCTCAAATTAAATTACTGTTGGTTAGAACTTCAAGTACTAGTACACAAGCAATAACTCTTCTGATATTACATTACAAACAAAATGATGAAGAAGAAGATAATATATATAAAGAGAAGTATATATATATATATGTATTTTTTGTTTTATAGATGAAGAGAAGTATCAACATCATCACACTTAGACTCATCAAATTTTTCTGATGAAGCATACATAGAAGATGTCTGGTTTGATCGTAAGGGCGTCGAGATAGGAGTTTCCAAGCACTGAAAATCAGCATCCTTGCCCTGAGAATTAGACCAAAGATTGAGGGAAACTTGTGAGGTTGGAGTTGCTGATAAAGATGAAGATGATCTTGGTGGAAGGAAGTGAAAGAAAAGCATTGAATTGGAGGGTGACAGTTTACAATGCATAGGGGTGTCAAATAGTTTTGGTTGAATAAGCACTTTATTCTGCTCCCTTTCTTCTCTCATCTCCTTAACTCTTTGAAGCTGTCTAAACCTCTCCTGCAATAGAGCAATGGAGGATTGAATTATGATGGTGTCATTACTTTCTCTACCCATTTGAGGACCAAAATGTAAAGAAATGAAACTCTAACTAAGCTAAGCGAGGCTTATTGAAATGAGATGAATGTAGTTTGTGTGTGTGTATATATATAAGTAGCATATGGTGGCATTGGGGGAATGAGGGCCTAAATGTATTGATTGTTTCAATTATTCTAAGAGTATTTGGTCGTTCGGTGAAATTCTAAATGATTTAAAAACGGTATGAGAATCGGCAGCTGCTATGCAAAGGCCAAAGAGAAAAAGTTAAGTGGCCAATCTAAGAGAAGTAGTACTTTGGTTAGTGTAAGTGAGAGAAAAGGGTGAGGCAAAAGCAATGGAAAAAGAGAAAAGGGCTGAAAGAAAAGGCCAAAAGAATGTTAGAAACTAGCACATGGAAGGGTATGTTTGGAGGAATAATAAGTTGGATGATGCTCTGTCAGCTTTGTCTCTAAAAGTCCCTTTTAGCTTTGGAGATGATGGAGCCTTTTTTTTTATTCATTAATTCATCTTTCAAATTCTCTTCTCCCTCTCCTTGAATGTCTCTATGTTGAGGCTAATAGGTAGGGGGGGCCATTAAAAGACAAAGCTTAGAAAGAGAAAGAATAATCTTAGGAGCTCATGATGCTGCTTCGGTTAAACTATTATGTATGACAAAGACAAGCATAGCAAAGCAATACCAACATTCATTCTCTCTCTCTCTCTCTGTCTCTCTGTGAATGAGTTTTGTCTTGGAGCTTTTGGATTCAAATGGCATGCAGAAATGAAAGCTGCAGATGCTATATATTCTGATAGATTGGATGCTTCTTTTGTAAACCACTTCGAAGTTTGAAGGTTGGATGGATAGCATTTGAGAAAAGCTAAGAGCTTTATAACTTTAGACAAGGCGTGCATTCAAAGATATCATACTTTAACCGTATATCTTCATTGGGTTCAAATTAAAGTTCAATGCAGAGCCTACCGGGCTACATGATGGGATGTCTTCATGCCCTTGTCCAATATATAACCCCTCATTTAAGACGAAAATAAGTTTGAACCCACTAAGCTTAATTGGTATTCTTGACTCGTTCGAAAAGATGATATCTAGATTTGAATAAGGATACATCTCTAAAGAGGTAAAGCCTCACTATTCTGAGGCGGGTAAGAGACAAATTTGAATCCCAGTTACCAGAATGATCATTCAAATGGGCTTGAAATATAAATGATCTATAATCTAAGATGGAAAAATTGTGAACAAAACAAACAAGTTGTTGATAAGTGAGAAAACCTCACTGTGGTTTGTCATTTAGGAGGAAAATATGTCAAAAGGGAGCCTGAAATTCAAGCCTTATCTGCTTGTCACTAGAAGGTGACCACTAATTATTATCACGTTTTGGCATGTTGTTTCTGAAATCAGATTTTGTTTAAGTGACAGTTGATTGGATGTTTAGAACAGTTTGAATCTTCTATTGTTGTCATACTAATCTAGACTAAAACTTGTGGTGTAACAAGTCCAGTAATCTTTACAGTAGCATTACTCTGACTCTTCAATTGGCTGAGGAACAATAGGTTTATGTTTTGCAATACCAGTATGTACTCAGTATGTAATGTGTACCCAGTTTTGCACTACAACAAATAATTCATATCAATAAAGTGAGTTTGATGAAACTTACTCCCAAAAGCTAGCTCAAGGGAAGAGGGAATTAAATCATATATATATATACTATAATAACATCAACTTGACAACGTGGGACAAATTCAACTTTAATACCCTCCCTCATGCTAGACGTGAACAAACGTGGCTCTGATACTATAATAAAATAGACTTAGATAGAATTCACTCCCAAAAGTTAGCTCAAAATAGCCACGGAAAATATTTTCTTCCTTGCACAAAAAGAAAGCTTAAAGCAATGAAAATGACATGTGAAATGGAGCGTTTTGTGCCAAGGCAAAGCATGAAGCTTCAAAGAAAATGACATGAAACGGTGCGTTTGTCTTCCGTGTTATTCTATATGTACTGCATCCTGAAGACTGAAGAGAGAAGTGAAGTCAACTGGGACAAAGTCAACAGCTGCAACTTCAAACCTTCAACTCCAACTCCAACTCTGTTAATGCTATCTCAGGTGAACAAATTATCTCTTCTTTTGAAATTTGTTTCATGTGTTTGTTTTCAACTTTAATTCATGCTATTTGTCTTTAATGTGTTGAGTTTCATTTGCATGCAATGATTGAGTTGAAAGCACTTCACATAGAGAAAGCTAAAGAACTGCAGGTTTGGCAAATAAGCTAGTTGTTAATTCATAGTTTGATCTGAAATGGGAAATTTTTATTACTTATTTTGATGATCCTTGGTGGTGGAACTAGTATAATTACATGGGTTCTTGCTGATAATTAGTACTGATACATGGGTTCACCTATCTATGTTGGACTCTGAGCATATACTTTGCTGCCAGATCAATTGGCCAAGAAAATACACCAATTAGAATACAAACACCCCACTGTTGGTAATTCAGCTTTGTACAATGAGCAATAACATTTGCAATCTCCAGGAAGGCCACTTGCAACCCTAATATAGTCACCACAGCCACCCAAAACCAATGGTTATGAAAAATATTGGCGAATACATTCTTCTTCTTTATCTGTCTAGCATTGAACAAATTGAAAACCTGGAAAAGAAAGAAACTGTTGAAGATCATTGTTCGCCTGATTTTCTGATTTGTATCATAAATGGCTTGACCTTTGAACTGAAAGATCACTAAAATGACAACTTGACAAACAACTTGCATTATAATGTTTCGCCACATTGCTTTGGTTATAAGTGGTTCGCTTGAGAGGACAGGAGGCTTATTCATTGATTGATCATTGGGTGGTTCAGTGAGCAGAGCTAAGCCACCTAAAATGACCACAATCAAGTTCACCCAGAACAAGTGAATTGGTGTCATGGGACCTTCCCCCAATGCTACTGTCAATATGGAAGTTGTCAACATTCCAGAAATTATCATAATGAGTTCAAGTTGGATAAACTTCTGTATGTTGCCATAGGTGCATCTTCCACATTTTATAATATCAACCAAAAAGCTGAAACAGCCGTCCTGTAAAACGATGGCAGGGCATTCTTTTGCAACTTTAGTAACCCTGCAGCTTCCTATTGCGAGCCCAATGTCAGCTTCTTTCATTGCTGGAGTGTCATGTCTATTGACTCCAACCATTGCAACTACATTTCCTTTTTGTCTTAAGCACCGAACAAGGAGAAGCTTGTCAGATGGGATGCAGTTACCCATTGCAGTGATCTCATCCACCTTTTCCATCCTCTCGTCTTCAGTTAAGTTCCGAAAATCTTCAGCAGTTAAAATCAATCCTGACGAGGGTGAAGTTAGAATTCCACATTCGAGAGCTATCTCTTTCACAATAGAAACATCGTGTTGTGATACAAGTTTAATGCTCACCCCAGCTTTGTTACAAGCTTCTACTGCTCTTCTTGTCTCTTCCTGATGTGAGTCCTTCATACCTAAGAGTCCTACCAAGATTAAATTGTTTGTATCGAGCATAGGGATATTGGTTTTTTTGTGAGCATATGCAATACATTTGAGGCCTTTGGCCTCCATATCTTTAATCACTCTCTCAAACATCATCTTTTTGTGTTCATCCATGGCTTCTACTTTGCCTCCTGTATCATAGTAGTGTAAACACGTGGCCAAAATCTTTCTTGCAGGTCCTTTCCAGTGCAGGTAGAAACTCTTTTCTTGGTCTGCATTCTTTTCCATCAGCACACCATAGCCTTCCTTGTCGGAGTCCAAATCTCTTGAATCAATAATGATGCAGCTTTGCTTTAGAATCTCCATTTTCATACCTAACTTCAACTCAACCCAAATAATAAGTGGGTCTTTCTTTTGAATACCTGAAGATTGAGGGAGCAGAAAAGGAGCTGCAATTCCATAAACCATAGCTTCAATAACAGCCGGGCCTAATATAGAGCATTCATTAACTTCATCTTCATCAATCCTCAATGTATGAACTTCCTTCTGTTTTGTAATCAGCCCACCAATTATGTCAGTGCAGGTGGTTGATGCAAAGCCCATAGTGACACAAGCAGATGACTCCAAGACAGCGGCCTTACTAGATACCATCTTTTTATTCCTGTAAACAAGAGAAAGAGCAATGATAAATGGCATTCCTTCCTGTATTCCCAACAGGCATACAGTTAATGATGCTATCAAAATGCTAACCTTTCCTTTTGGTTTCGTCAAAATTCCCTCGATTGCCTCCACAAACTCCTTGACCGGCGTCGCTTCTCCGCTTGGATTAACTTTTCCATTCTCATGATCATTCTTTGTCACCAAGTAGCGGACAAATAGAACTATGAGGAGCACCAGAGAAATCTGAAGAGATCTAACCAGTATACTATTACGTAGGTTGTCAAGCTGAGCTTGTATCGAGGTCTCCTCTTCTGAAGCACTTGTTTCATGCTTAATCATTTCACCCCTTAGTGTGTTCAAGCCTACAGATGTAACAAGCATGCGACCTTCTCCATCAATCACCTTTTCACCATAGAACAAAAACGGATTTTGGTCATAAATTTTAGAGTTCAATACATCATCTAGCTCTAATCTTTGACCATCTATGAATAAACCGTCAGCTGGAACGGGATCCCCCTTGTTCAACAAGACTATGTCACCCACCACCACATTAGAGGTGGAAATTTGCTGATTCTGTCCCCCTCTGGTCACATTAACCATAGATTCTCTGTTATATAGCTTTTGAATCTTTAGTCCACTACGGTACTCTCTGATTGCAGGGAAGTATGTGAGAATTAAAATGAAAAAAAAGATACTGGCTGCATCATACCACCCTCTTTTTGGACCTTCTTCCTTGATTCCGAAGCCAAGAGACAAATATCCACAATTAATAAGGAGAATTATGTTTAATGTCATGCTTGATCCCCACAGGACAACCAAAAATGTTCTTGCACGAGTAGGCCGCATATTGCCATACCTGCTGTACATGCTTCGCTGATGAAGGTCTTCAGTATCACCAGGGATTCCATTCTCCAAATGAGTATTGAGAGCGTCTGCAGTTCCTTGCACACCGCCAAACTCAGTAAGTGAACTGAAGTCCTCTTCATTTACTATTCTTGCAATGGTTTCCATGGGAAACTGATTCTCACAATCATCAGGTTGGATTTCTGATGTTGGCTGTGGCGCAGTAGGACAGATACCCTCATCGTGTGCTGGGGGAACAGTACAAGTCGAAGTTGACATGGAATTATTATCATGCATAAGGGACCTATTATCAATGTTATTTGTGATTGAGTTGAAAATTCTTGTGGCCTGGAAGACCAGAAAAATCCTTCGCCAATGCCTTTTTGGATGGTTACCAGAGTGAATTAGGATGGAAGGATGATCATTTGTATTGTTGTTTGACATATTTATTTATCACTAAAAGAAGAAGCAGTTATGTTGGTGGAATCTAGCTATACTCTTGAAAATTTAGCTGAGCTTCAAGATAAGAAGAGAAACAATAAATGAATAATTGAATACTACATGGATAAGTGAATGAAAAGAAATATTCAAAGGGTGATTGCCACTAATATACAGTAGTATGTAATAGATTAGATCCTACTTGGTGAATAAAAATGATCCTGTACTGACTATACTTTGGCATGGAGAATATTTGTTTGGTTGACACAGACGTATAACTATAGAATAGAGGAAGTTCTGTGTGGTAGAGAATTAAGGTTGAGTGGGGTAGCATATAGAACTCAGGTCAAGAAACTTGTATGTATTTTCTGAGAAATGAGGGACTATTTTCTGAAGAACTTGCTTCGACACTGCAAAGAATATTGGCTGCTTGGTATTTGGACGTAAGAAAGAGTGGCATGACCAAATAAACTGCTACCTGTTTGTCTTATTTGTAATCTGATAAGACCTGGGATTGGTTTCACACTATGCAAGGCAAGACAAGACAAGACAAGCAATTGTTTTCCATATATTGTGTTTGTAACCTTCTATGCAATTAAGCCAGCTGATTGCTTGTGGTGGAAGTTTTCCATCTCAATGTTAATACAGTGAGTAATTGTCCCATATGTAGATCTTTATGCTTATGTTGGAATCATTTTTTTTTTTTTCTCTAATTTGTATCTACAGGCAGGAGTGGACAAAGTTCAACGATTCTGTCCAAGTGATGCATAAAGTTTTTAGCAATAATTCCACAAGAAATTGCTAAGCTTCAAGTTCCAACCTTCTTAGAAAGAACATCATACTATTAAATAAATATTATCTGTACCCATAAAATCTATGGTACGAAGGGTTCCACCTACACTATCGAGATAATGGTATTCTATTTGAACTCTTGGATCATCATTTAAGAATTGATTGAACCATAATTAAATGGTTTAGAGAGTTGGCATAAGATAACATAACATATAATTAGATCAAGAAGTTATGTTGTTGGTGTAACAATACTTCTTCGTTGGATCGATCATCTGATAGAATAACGTTACTCCAAACAATACTCCTTGTAATGTCAAATATTAATCCAATTAAGAAACTTAGACCAATAATTAAAATATATACATAATAGATGAATATATTTGAGTACCATACCTCCTTTACTATCTCCATTGGTCCCCAACAACCATGTAATGGGTAAACGGTGCGTTTAAGGATATGACAAAATAACTGGCCACGTTTGTCATGTGGTGTTGTTCTATATATTATGCAGCCTGACGAAGAGTGAAGACTTGATATGAGAGCAGAAGTCAACAAGTCAACTTGTGATAAACTCATAAGCTTCAAGCCTTCAACAGTTCAACTCCAAGTCTGTTTATGAATTCTAAGGTGAACTTCATCCCTTCTTTGGTTTTTTATGTATGTTTATGTTCATCGCTTATTGTATAATCAAACTTCATATGATGTGATGTTTTTCATTACTTTTTTCTTACTGCAATCTGAGGTGCATGATTATTCCCTGAGTTTTTATTAATGATCAGTACTGGTACAAGGTTTTGATACATAGAATTGTTAAAAAAAATACTATTTTGAAAACTAGTGAATATTGTACAAACTACAAAGTACAATGAGAGATGGAATCATGGGTTTGTTGTGGAATCTAACTTGATGAATGGGAGCTCAAGATTAGAAGCCGATTCTGAGTGTGTCATCCCCAGGGATCCTATGTGTGAACTGTGTAATTTAGTATGCCAATACATGATGAAAGTTAATATGCTCTTTGCTGCGAAATCAATTGGCAATGAGAGCAACCCGATTAGGAAAGATATGCCCCATTGTTCTCCATTCAGCTTTGCATTACCGACAATAACGTGTGCAATTTCTATGAATGCCACTTGTAGCATCACGGTAGCACACACAGCCACCCAAAACCATGGGTTCTGCATGATCCCCTTGAAGATGTTTTTCATCTTTGGCTGTCTTGCATTGAAAATGTTGAAGACCTGGCACAGCACAAAACTATTGAAAATCATGGTTTCACTAACCTTCTTGTTGATTCCTGGGATAGATTTGCTTTTGAATTGAAAGGTTACCAAAATGGCAGCTTGAAATAAGACCTGAGTGATTATGTTTCTCCACATGGTCTTGGTTATGAATGGATCTGTTTTTCTCATTGGCTGCCTGTTCATCAGTTCCTCACTTGGTGGCTCTGTCAATAAAGCAAGGCCTCCTAGAACAGAAACTATAAGGTTTGCCCAGAACCATTGAATCGCTGTAATTGAGGTATCCCCAACGGCAACTATTGTGATAGTGGTTATCAATAACCCTGCAATAACCATAGTGACCTCAAGTTGGATATACTTTTGGATATTGTCGTAAGCACATCTCCCACAGCTAAAAATGGTAACCAAGGAACAGAAATTGCTCTCCCAAATGATAATTTCCGAACTCTCTTTGGCCAATTCACTATTCCAAGTGCCCATGGCAATCCCCACATCAGCTTCTTTTAGTGCTGGAGTCTCATTTGTTTTGACTCCAACCATTGCTACCATGTGGCCTTTTTGCTTCAAACACTTAATGAGAAGGAGCTTGTCAGAAGGGAGGGAGTTTCCAATCACAGAAATTTTATCTACGATTTCCAGCCTCTTTTTGTCAGTGAAGTTTCGAAAGTCTTCAGCTTCAAGCACCAATTTATCTGAGTTGGGAAGCAATCCAAATTCAAGACTTATGCCTTCCAGATCCGCCACATTACCTTCTGAAATTAGTTTGACATCAATACCTGCCGTTCTGAAAGCCTCTATTGCTTTTCTTATCTCTGTCCAACATTTATGCTTCAGACCAAGCACCCCGATCAGTGTTAAGCTGTTATCTTCAAATGTTGAAGCATCAACTTGCTTATAAGCAAATGCCATGGGTTTGAGTTGTTTAGACTGCATACGCTCAACAATTTGCTCAAAATCTGACCTCTTTTGTTCATCCATGTAATTCATTGTCCCTTTACAATCAAAGTAGCAAGAACACATGGGTAATATCATTTTTGCAGGTCCTCTCCAATGCAACCACATATGGTTTTCCTTATCTCCATTCTTCCTCATCAATACTCTGCTTCCCTCTTCCGTGGAGCTAAGGTTTCTGGCATCAACAAGGGTGCAGCTTTGCTTAAAAATCTCTTTTTCTGCTCCCAACTTCAACGTAGCCCAGGAAAGGAGACAGTCCTCAGTTGAGCTACTAGGACCCTGTGGCATTAGAAAAGGCGTGCAGATTCCATTGCACAGAGCATCAAGAACATGTTCATCTACTATCGAATCTTCATTGATGAGTTCTTCACCAATCCAAACTTCCTGTGGATTCCATGTCAGGACACCAGTTTTGTCAGTGCAGATGGTTGTGACTGAGCCCATACTGACACAAGCCAATAACTTTTGAGCAAAGGCCTTGTAGGATAGAGCCTTCTTATTCCAATAAAAGATGGCAAGGGTAATGACAAAAGGTACTCCTTCCACTATGCCTACCACCAGTGTTAGTAAAGTTGTCAAAATACTGACCTTCCCACTTGGTCTGCTGATAATCCTCTTGATAGCCTCCATTAACTCATTGCTTGAAGTTGGTTTGCCTTTGATGTCTGGCATCCCAGGATGATGCTTTTCCTTACTGAGCTCAAAATGTAGGAAAACCACTGCTGGAATAAAAACTGAGATTGAAAGCCCAATAATTTGTGTGCCAATGCTCACCTTGTCAAGTTGAGCTGGTAATGGGGTCTGGCTGGGAGCATTAGTAACCTGGCTCATCATCTCACCCCATGTTGTGTTCATACCCACAGACGTTGCCAACATGCGACCATGCCCTTTAATCACCTTTGCTCCGTAGAAGAGGAAAGGGTTCTGTTCATCAATGGTTGCTAAACCATCACCCAACTTCAAGGATTCTCCAGATATGAATAGACCATCACAAGGTACACTTTATCCCCGTCTCAAGCACACTATGTCACCGATTACAACGTCAGAAGCATATAGTTTCTGCAAACTTCCCCCTCTAAGTACATCAATTTCTGTCTGACTCTTTTCTGATAATTTCTGCTCTTCCGGCAGCTTCATCGAGTTTTCACGCCAGAAGTCACGCATCGAAGAGGCAACAACAAGTATGATGATAGCAATAATAATTATGACCCCTCCATGCCAACCACACTTCCAGCCTTCTTGCTTGATCCCAAATCCGATAGACATCACTGCAGACAGGAGAAGGAGAATGACAATGTAACTGTTACAAGATTTTAGGACTAACTGGAGAAAGCTTTTTGCAGGATCTTGTGCCTTGGAGAGTGTATTGCTGATACGTCGTGAACTTAGATCATTGTCATCACCAGGGATTCCGTTCTCTAAGTCAGTATCAAGAGCTTCTGCAATGCCTTGAACACCTCCAAATCTATGCAGGGCAGCCAGGTCCTCGGTCTTTACAATCTGAGCAATATTTGCATGTTGGAGTCTCTCATTACTGACAATTGGATCATTGCGAAGCAAGTCAACTGAAACTTCAGGTGATGTGGGTAACTCCTCAACAATTTCTGTTATTTCCGAGTTCTGAAAAAATGAAATACTTGATGAGTTAGTTTTTAATCTATCTTAAACAATTGATGTGACTGCAGCATTTCAATCTTCTAAGAGATATGTCATTAAATTATCCTAATAGACTCAAAGGTTCAATTATTCTTGGATTCAGTGTAACCAAAGTCGATATGTGCCACATATATATGACTGTTGTCGGACTGATTCAACTGAAGCTATTAGCGTTATAATAGACCTGAGAGTCAGGTGGTTCTGGTTGCATATATGAAACTTGCTTGGGGAATCTGTTGAGTTTTTTCAGCAGCTGACAAGCTCTGACGCTGTTGCAACATGAGTTGATAGCAGCTTTTAAATGATTTCAACTAATCACTGTTAGTGCAAATTTTCAAAATAACATAGATATATATATTCTTGGATCTTTTAAATCCCTCAATTGTTCCCTTGGACAGAAAACTGAAGCCCGTAGGAGACATTGTATAGACAACAAGGGCTGTTAATTCTCATAGATGATTCAGTGGCTAGTTGGTAATAATGTGGAAGTGGGGGTGGAATAATGTTGATTTGTTATAGAATCAAATTTTACCTAAAGTAAAAGCAAAAAAAAAAAATAAAAAAAATCAGGTAGCTATTTGATTTATCATGCTGAAGGAGATATGCCTTTTGAGATTGGTATTATCCTTTCTATCTGATTTGTATTCACAGAACTTTTTCATGGACTCAAGTACAGATAGTGAACTTACTGCATTCCCTTCTCTGCAAGTGTTGATGACACCGTAAGAAGAGGTGGAAGATGAAACTGCAGCATTACCAACGCCTGGAGAACGCCGCTTAGTTTTATAAGCTCTTGAGATGAGACTTTGGCGTGCATGTAGAACCAGGAAAATCCACCTCCAGTTGTCTCGTGGACGGTCATTGGCTATGACCAAGAATGTTTGCTGAGACTCGATGTCACGATCATCAGAGCACCCGTTTGACATGTTTGTTTACTGAGACTTTGTACCAAAAATTTGCCAAAATACAATCAAGAAAACGATTGTAAACCCGCAGAGAACACCACAACTTTCTGCATTACAAGACCAAGGAAGAGAAACAGAGAAACAAGTGAAGCTCTTTTGAAGGAAATCAAAGTTGATAAAATTGGCTTTTGATGAGAAAGAAGTAGATACTCTTGGATAGTTAGATGGTGTTAACTCCGGCGAAATGGCTTGGTATTTATAGATTCCTATACATAACGAACCATGAAGTCTCGTGGAAGCTGCAGTGTAATTATGGTTCTCTCTTTTCAAGTTAAATTTCCTCATCCGTAGCGTGAAACTTGCTAAAAGATTCCTCAAGCTGAGAGTAAGACAAGGAGGGAGAGCAGGTGGCTGGCGATGTTCTGCTTAGTCAAGAGAAACTTAAACAATAAGTCATGCAGCAGATTCGACTGTACACTTTTGAAGGAGATTGTAACCACAACCAACATTAATGTAACTTTCAGTTAACAAAATAGAATTTTTTTTATATCTTTTGTTTTCCCATGTTCATGGCCGTGAGCGTGTTTGTGTTAAGTTTTTCTACGCGTTTTGCTGCTAGGATGACGACAAGAAATATTGTAAATTTGTTTTAAGTATTTTATATAACAAAAGAACATTAAATTCAGAGTTTGTTAATTCTGAAACATAATAATACTATAAATATTGTTCAATAGTTTTCACTGAGAATGATTATATATTAATATAAATTGATATAATAGCATTATTATTCAGAAACGCAAAGTTTCCAACAACCTGAAACCAGAGAATCTTGTGGTATATAATGAGAAGTGAGAACTGAGAGGGGCTTAATTTCTTTTATTTTCTCTCCAGGAAATTAACGCAAACTTTCCAGGAAATTAAGCTGAAGAGCCGCGTATAATTTTTTTTTTTATGTAAATTCTTGCTCTAAAATTATTCGCCTGAAACCAGAGAATCCTGTGGTATATACTACATACTGAGAAGTGAGAAGGGTTTAATTTCTTGTATTTATTTTCTCTAGGAAATTAACGCAAACTTTCCAGGAAATTATGCTGAAGAACCTAGTATAAATTTATTTTACGTAATTTCTTGCTCTGGAATTATTCACCGACGTCACAAGCATGCGACCATGCATGCCCTTTAACCACCTTTGTACATTAGAAAAGGAAAGGATTGTGTTCATCAATGGCTGCTAAACCTTATCCAAGGTACATTGTATCCCCTTCTCGAGCACATTATGTCACTGATTACAATATCAGAAGAAACTAATTTCTGCAAATAAAAATAGTATATTGTTTTGGAATGAGCGTGTTTGTGGGTTAGTTTTTTCTACGCGTTTTGATTCTAAGGATGATGACAGAAAGTATTGTAAACTATGACAGAGACTTGATATGGTCTCATAATTAATTCATACAAATGCCCAAATTAATCAATTAATTAACTATATTCCGAATGAAAAGAAGAAGAAGTTAGTTAAATGAAACATGCAGGCACTGAGAAGGGTTGTACTCGACCCTCATTGAAATCTCTTATAACTCCAATGAAAAGCAGCCCACGGGCCGTCGACATTGGAAATCAGCCCATTATCTGCCACTAACATTAGCCCAAAATCAGTTCCTTCCTCGTCCAAGCAGACTAGCAGAAGCCTTAAAATTCCTGGCATAGCCAATAAGTGAAATCAACTTGGTAGGCACAACGTCAACAGCTGCAACTTCAGCCTTACAGTTCCAGCTCATCTCAGGTGAACAACTTATCTCTTTCTTTATCCAATTCCAATGTTCATCTCTTGACACATAAACTGTGTTTCATACATTAGTTTTCAACTTTATTTCTTGCTGTTTGTCTTTTATTTTTGTTGAGTTTCATTTGCCTCACATTGAGAACATCTAAGAGCTACATATAAATTTGTTTTTAATTCATAGTTTGACCTGAAATGGGAAAATTTTGTTACTTATTTCATGATGCTTGATGGTGGAACTATTATAATTACATAGGTTCTTGCTGATAATTAGTACTAATATTGCGAGAAGAATTAATATTGAGAGTAGTTAGTTTGATTATTCAAAATATATATATATATACAGAAGCAGAAGCTTCAGTGCAATTTCTATATTGGTTAATATGAAGGAAATAGCATTTATTGGATGAGTCTTCTCGGCCTTGTTTATCGGTTGGTTTTGAGACGTTTACAAATTAATCAAAGAGCTAATCTTCCTATTATAACTGATCAATTTAGTTAGCGATTATAAACCTAAAACTAAACTAAAAGGTTAAGGGAAGATAAGAGTTATAATAAAACTCTAACTATGACAGGGCCTCGTTAAATTCTACTGCAAAGGCAGGTTCTGGGAAGCTCTCGGGGCTTGTTAAATTCTACTGTAAAGGCAGGTTTCCAGGAAGCTCGTACGTGCGTGCCAGATATATTATACAAATATGAAATATTCACGTTAACATAAACGCTTTGAATATTAAACCATTGTTATTGGACTTTATTTTTAATTCATGGATTGACAGCATGCAATGTTTACTGCTATATTGCCTTGTTAAAAATTCATTCATAGGGTTGCAATGGTGGGAGAGTGATTTAATTTCTTAATATATATATTATTTTAATTTTTGGTAGATTGCCATGAGATAAAAAACTAATAAATGAAGCCATGAAAATCAAAATTCCCTTCCTTGAATTTTTCCTTAAAAATTCTCCTGCTTCACCAGACATCTTTGCTTCTAATAATGCCGCCGGCTTTTTAAATTTGCCTCTACTGTTTTATGCTGTTCTTCATTGTTACCAACTTTATTCTTCTTCTTGTTGCTTGAAACGCTAGCTTTTTTCTACTTCATCATTGCACTTCCATTATTATAAGCAGTAAACACCCTCTTCATCATCATCAACATTATTGGGACGTTCTTGATGCTTAATACTGTAGACGTAAAAATCTACCTGTACGGAAGGGGGGGGTCTGATCCCGTGAGGTTGAGGCCACTAGCGATCTGTTGTACCTGCACACGTAGAGACACACACGTGAAGCGAACGGGAAACACCGGGGTGGTGTTTGCCGTAGGCACTCCGACGCTCAAGTCAGCAAGGCTGAAAGGCTAATATAGTGAGGGCTAGGGAGTGAGAGATTACCGGAAGTCTAGTCAGGGACTGTGACTACGGCGGTGAAGCGAAGTTCTCAAGTAAGAGCTTCGGGTGTGAAGGTGTAATGTCCTCCCCCTTGTGAGAGGGCTGGCCTCTGCTTATATAATGGTCGTCTGGTCTCCCAATCCTGGTAGAAGTAGGAGTCCTAGTATGACTCTGATGCAAACCCTTGAAGAATCAGGGCTGTGGTAAGCTGTCTTACCAGTGTCTGGATAGGAAGGTGATTCTGATTAGGAGAGTAACTCCGAGTAGGAAAGTGATCAAGAATAGGAAGGCGACCTTGAATAGGAGATTGATTAGGAGTAGGAAAGTACTCTGAGGGGGCTATGGGCTCTGGATTCTCCCATGGACCTAGGAAATAGACTGGGATTAAGAGGCTCGCGCCACGTGGTTTGGGCCGGCTATATCTCGTATCAAAAGGGCCTAATCCGGTTGGATCATATCGGGATTGGGCTTGGCTTCTTCTTCAGTGTCGGGCCCGTTTTCCTATTTGGGCCAAGGAAGATTTTTGGCCCTAACAGTTTGCCCCCCCACTCTCTGAGTTAAGAGTTACTTAAGTCAGAGAGTAGGAAGCGATCGATGGGCGCTCGATCATCCTTCCGGGATGACCGGTTGTTGGTGTAGCTGATTCTGCAAGCGATCCGTATCCTGGGGTAGTTCTGTACCCATTGCCAGAGTATGTTATCCTTGCAAGGTCATGCCTGATCGGTGTATGGGGTCGAGGGATCGGAGAAGCATGGTCCGGAGTTCACGCGCTCATCCGGTACGTCCGACCGACTGGATAGGAAAGGTCAATCGCAGCCTAGGTGTTCGCTCGGTCTTCCGGGTCAAGTGAGGTGGGGAGCTCATTGATATTTAAACATTCGTTCGGTCGGGATGTGTGGACGACCGAATGGATGAACCTGTACTGACTGTTCCTTCGTTCGTCGTGGAAGGATGAGAGGGCAAGGCTTCTTACCCTGGTCCGAAGAGGGCACGAAACGGGCCGTTTTAAGCTGGTCGATCGATGTGCCATGCCTTTCAGGCCGGCGAAGCGTGGGGTACTTAGAATGCCTTCGGAAGTCTAGGACCAGGTCGGTTGGGGGTATCGAGCGATTGAGCGGAGGGGATGTGTGAGCTCTGATGTTAGTTGTCTATTTGTTCGCTACGGGAGAACGACAAAGCTAGAGCTCGGGCTGGATTGTTCCCAGTCGATCGACCGGTTGGGGGGAACCTCCTGAGCCTCTGATTTACAGGGGTATGGTCTATTGTGGGCGCGTGTTGACTCGGTCGGTGGGTATGGGCGGTCGATTCAAGCTTCCGTATGTCGTTGCCGTTTTCCAGGCGTCGCGGATGCTTGCCACGTGTTCGACAGAGATCAGATCTTCATTTACGAGGCGGGAAACTGAAAAGGGGTTTTGACCTGTGGCCAATCGCGGGCTATCACGTGTCCTCGCCTGATAGTTTTCCCCTTTAAAAGTGAATGGGCGAACTGTTCATCTTCCAGTTCGCATTTTTCTCCCATTTTCTCTTCAAAGAAAGTAAAACTTTCCTTTTCGTTTCTTCGATTCCGTTCTGGTTTCTTTTCAACGACGACGGCTTTCTGTCTGCAATCTATTGTTTTACGGTAAATCCTTTTTCCTTTGGACTGATTTTTAGGTTGTTTTCGTTTTTTGCTGGGCTTTGGATGATAGGGTGAAGTTTTCTGAAAACTTTTGAGTAGTTTTGACGATGTTTAAAGAGTTTAGGAGTGTTGGCATTTTGGCTTTCTGGGGTAGGTTCGGATTTTTTGGATTTCTGGTGTGTTTCTGGCAAGTTGGCTGGGTTTTTTTTTTTTTTTTTTTTTTTTTTTTTTTTTTTT